GCGTCCGCCCCGCTCGTTTCTCAGAGGTACACCTTCTTCACTGAGCGCGTGGTCGAGAAGCCGTTGTCGTTGCCGCGCCGGTAGCCGTCGCCCTGCGGTCCGAACACTCCTGCGTTAACTGACATGCCGCAGTCAATATCAGTGATAGTGGGGTGACATGAAATACAAAATGGCGGATTAATGGCGCGAAAAGTATCGTGAGAATGTATAGGACGAACATTTTAATTTTCTTTATTGCTATTGCTAAACAACAAGTACGATGTTTTTTTGATGTAATTATTTGTACCGTACTAACAGTTTTTTAAAAAAAATATCTCACAATACTTTTCGCAATGATAAATGAATAATGAATTATGAGTTAATTGAAACATGCATGAATTTGACAAGATTTAGTTTGTAACAATGAAATTAAATGAAAATTTTCGGTAAATACTGAATTAATGAAAATTTGTCGATGCATCTTAGTAACAATGACATAATTTAACGTGAACTTTGCAGTCGCACATGTACAACATACTTCCCTCTCACTTTATTCTCAATGAAAAAAACAAGGACAGCAATACATTTTGTACAGGTGTTACAGCAATGAAAACTTAATATTAAACGCAAAACTAAATATTCTAATAGTGGCATGCAATGAACGAAATGAAAAATGCGTTGAGCTTTTCTACTTTTACCGTAATGTTTAATCTACGACACTCATGTCTTGCAAACTGGTTTTCTTCCTGAAATACTAAAAGTAGTATCATGCGGAAAACACACAGAAATCTGTTTACTACTACAGTTAAAACATATAGGAATAGTGGTCTAAGCTTAATCTAGCTGCTAAAATAAATATAAAACAAATTAAATATCAAGGAATATAAATAAAAATAACCAGCTTTTGACAGAAATTTCGTCTGAGCGGAATTAAAAAGAACATAGTATGTAGCTTGTATATTTTTCCAGGCTATGTCATCGATAGCAAATTTTATCGAAATTCTTTGAGCAGTTCTGGTCCCTTATAACAAACATTCATCCATTCTTCTCAACTCAGGCATTTATATTTGTAAGATGCCTATGTTATTCACAGATTAATTTTTCTAACGGTGAAAGATTTTTTAAAATCGGTCCAGTAGTTTTTGAATTATTTCAATACATACAAAAATAAAAATCTTTCCTCTTTATAGTATTAGTATAGATTTATTTCATAGAATTGCATCGAGATCATTCTGCTGTTTAAGCTACAAACTCTAACAAATATCTATTAAAACTTTCGCATATATATCAGAAAAATGTCTAAAAATCCGCATATAGTCAGAATATTAAAATATGGTGAGGACAGTTGTAAATCTGATAGGAAGTAAGAAGCCATGCAATAGGGGGCGGGGAGAGTGAGAGTGTGAGAGTGAGACGGGGAGAGTGTGTGTGAGAGAGCGAGAGAGAGGAGCGCAACTGACATTGACCTGGTGGGAGCGCAGCGTGCCGAAGTTGTCGCGGCGGTAGTTGTCTGGCTGGAACTGGAAGAGCGTCTCGTGGTGCGGGTGCGCGTGCATGTTGGGGTGCGTGTGCGGCGTGTGCGGCGCGTGCGGCGCGTGCGGTGCGTGCGGCGCGTGGTACGGCGCGTGCTTGCGCAGCGTGGCGCGCGGCGACGCCGGCTTCGGCTGCGGCGCCAGCACCGGCTCCGCGTACGTCACCTCCTCCACTTGCTGGAGGAGCTTCGGCTCAGCTTGGATTCTGGAATGTACATTTTACTTATAAATAACAGGTTTCATTAAGATTCCACCGAGAAGTCTAGTCAGGTTGTAAATGTTTACTGATTTAAAGCCACTCTCACAGAAGTCAAAGATCACAAAGGGAGCCATGATGTATAGACTTCTCATACTAAACTACACTTATTGCGTCATTTATTCTTAAAACATAAATGAAAATGAAATACAATACAGAAGTTAGAGGGCGAGAGAGTGAAATGGAGTGTGTGAGAGAGCGCGACATTGACCTGTTGATATTCTGCCGTTGTTCGAAGTATTCGTACTCAGTATCGGGGTAGGGCATGTTGTCGTCGTCGTCCTTGCGGCAGCGGCGGCCGCACAGGTAGCCGGCCGCGAAGCCCGCGCCCAGCGCACACAGCGCGCCCGCCGCCACCGCCAGCGCCAGCGTCTCCACGGAGTACGCCGCCGGCACGGGGTCCGCCGCCAGCACCTCGGGGCCTGCACGACACGTCATACATTACTACAGGGCCGGTTTTAGGGTCTATATACTCCCCCCCAAATGCTAAAAAAGGGCGCAACTAGCCCAGGGGCTTAGTAGCAGCAAAACCGGTACAAAGTGGTTGACAAAAAGTATCGTTTGCCGCTAGATTTTTTTATCTGCCACCTATGCTGATAATAATAAACAATCTAAAAGCAAAGCATGGTAAAGTTTAAAATAGTCTTTTTCAAATATTAATTGCCTTCAGAATTATGCTGATAATGTAAAAAATGAAGGAAGAAACAAATAAAATTGATGTACCTTCGTTATTGTTAGTGTTTCCTTTGCCGTCCTTGTCCTGCACGATGTTGATGACCTCGCCCTTGCTCTCGCCGCGCGCGTCGTCGTACAGCCCCGAGCTCAGCCCGCCCACTGCGCTCGCGTCCTTACCTGCACAGATTATATTAATTATACTCTATCAATTCGTATCTAGCAATGTTTTTATTAACAGTGGGACAATATTTAATTGTTAATTATTTTTAAAACATAATGCTTCTAGCTGTTGCTCGCGACTTTGCTGCGCGAAATTAAAAATATCTAGCACTTTTTGAGTTATTTCAACACATACAAAAATACAAATATTTCCTCTTAGTAATATTATAAGGTTTAGATAAGAATACAAGAATAGACAAGGATCGTATTGTAGGCTACAATTTCAATGAACATAGAAATAGTACGCGTACTGTGCGGGCAGGCGGCGTGGCTGCCGGTGCTGACGCTCTGGTAGAAGGCGGTGTCGTCGAGCCAGCGACTGACGCCGTGCGAGAAGGCGCGGCAGCGGCCCGCCTGCTTGTCCCACGCGCAGTACGGGTCCTGCAGCGCCACGCACTCTCTGCAATCACAATGTAAACATTAACACAAGCAACAGAAACCTTTGGTTGTACTAATTGAATTCAATGTTTTATTTTTAGTTAAAACGTTGGCTTATGATCGTAGAGAGCTTAGGTGGCTGAGGGGATTAATCACTTGACCTGTCCAGGATTCAAATACAGCCATGTACCAGTGATTCTGGATTTTTAAAAGTAAACAATTTAACCGATTCTCTTACGGTGAAGGAAAACATAGTGCACATATAGACGAAGAAATTCTAAATACATGTGTGAGGTCAACCGACTTGCACTGGGTCAGCGTGGTTAACTAACGCCTAGCCACCAACTTTGGGTAAGCTCTGAGCTCCTCAGTGGGAACGTATAGTGAGCTGGTGATGATGATGTAAATAGAAGTGTAGTTGTAGTATATTAGCCGTAAGGTTACTGACGAGCATGAGCTGATCTTGTCGCTGGAGCAGCGGTGCAGGCGCAGACTGAGCACCTCGCGGTCGGAGACGGCGATGAGGCGCGCGGCGTCGCGGCCGGCGCGGGCCACGCGCAGCGCGCGCACCGGCGACCCCGCGCCGAACGCCTGCAGCTCCTCCACCACCACCGGCACCGCGCGCTTGTTGGAGTCGTACGACACCGCGTTTATTGCCTTTATTATCTTGCCATTGTCTGGAACAACATATACATTACTGAGGTCTATTTTTAGTCCCTTCTCCTTGAGAGGAAAGGATGGAAAAGAAAAGTGGCTTCGATGGGGAGAGACGCGCATAGGAACGAAAAATGTCTTTATGTGCGTCTCCTACTCCGTCAATTAAGGTTAGGCATCTGCAATTGCGGATGTCTATGGGTAGCAGTTGGTTCGCCATTTCGGCGGATTC